GAATAAAACTTAATTTTTTAAACTTATGTAGAATAATAATACAAAAAAATATATTTAATATAGAATATATCAATATATACAATATGGCTATTGTATTTTATAATAAATTTTTTAGTAATTAAACTTTAAAATTATAATTTATTTTTCTTAACGGGTCGAAATGGGTTACCCACATGTTACCCGCGTGTATACCCGTTATTAACGGGTCACCCAATAATGATCTCATTAGTTATCGTATTGATCCGAAACCCGTTATTTTCGTGTCGTGTAAGAAACTGCCAGGTCTAATTTAAAGGCCAAAATACTGATTAAAAGAATGTTTTTTTTGACATAGTCGTTTGGAGGGGTGGGGATATTCAAGTAAAAGATTAAAGAATTTTCAAAGAGTTTACAAATTCATACGTATTCAGCCAAGATTTTCATTGAATTTATGGAAGTGCATGGGTATTCATCAAGATTTTAAAAGAGTTTATTAAACTTCATATGAATTTGAGTGTGTTAATGCACAAAACTGGAGGTCTTGGAACAACGTAAATCCGACCGTGAATCTGCAAGAAATGTAAATAACACAAGATGTATCGTGATTCACCCCAAGGTTTGGGCTACGTCCACACTGATTATATTTCTGAGGGAGAGAGAGCTCTGAATGAGAGTGAAAGCTTTGAGAGGATGAGGAGGGCTTAAGAAATGACCCTCCCTAATTGTGAGGGTGATGAGTCATTTTATAGAATAATGGCTCCTCACTTATTACATATTTGCCCCATTCCTATATTAGATAATTTCATTTGAGTCCCCCGAGTATTTATACGAGATCTAAATACAGAGGCCCTAAGTATGGTATAAACAATAGTCCCCCAAGTCTTCAGTAAAGAGAGTCTTTTTGCTGGAGACTTGAAATTCAGTCCATGTGTGCGCCGAAGTAACTAGATGTTGTTTTAAACTGATGCTCGATATGAGGCGGTGCTCAATCTGAAATGAGGCTCAACTAGATGTAGCACATGTTGCAAGGCTGCTCGGCTTGTGGCGTTGAAGGTGAGGGAGTCCCTTTTATAGAATAAGGGCTCGCTCCTCAATACATGAATGATGGGCTAGAGTTGATGCTTTCTAATGATGGTGAGGGAGTCCCTTTTATAGAATAAGAACTCATCCTCAATACATAAATGATGGGTTATGAGTGAAGCTCGCGGCGAGGCGATTGCTCAGCTAGCGGCGATGCTTTCTAATGAAGGTGAGGGAGTCTGTTTTATAAAATAAGGGCTTGCTCCTCAATACATAAGTGATGGGTGCTCTCTAATGAAAGTGAGGGAGTTCCTTTTATAGAATAAGGGTTCGCTCCTCAATACAGAAGTGATGGGTTCCCTCTAATGAAAGTGAGGGAGTCCCTTTTATAAAATAAGGGCTCGCTCCTCAATACATGAATAATGGGTTAAGTCCCCCGAGTATTTTTCATGAGGCCCAATATATGGTACATAATGTGGTCCCCTAAATCTTCGGTCAATATAGTCTGTTGACTGGAGACTTCAAATTGAATCCATGTATGTGCCGAAATGGCGGTTGTTCCGAGGTGGTCTTTGTAGACCATGCACTGAAGCTTTGTAGGTGAAGCTTTGCAAGTTGAAGCTTTGAAGCTAGAGTTCTGTAAATGAAGCTTTTGAAGCTGGAGCTCTGTAAATGAAGCTTTTGAAGCTAGAGCTCTGTAAATGAAGCTTTTGAAGTTGGAGCTCTGTAAATGAAGCTTTTGAAGCTAGAGCTTTTGTAAATGAAGCTTTTAAAGCTGATTGACATGAGTGATGCTCATGAATGTTTATGTTGATTGACATGAGTGATGCTCATAGATGTTGTCATGAGTGATACTCATGAATGTTGATATGAGTGATGCTCATGAATGTTTATGTATGATTGATATGAGTGATGCTCATGAATGTTTTATGTATGATTGACATGAGTAGTGCTCATGTATAATTTTGAAGTACTGGGTGTACTTTTAATCACCTGGTTGGTGGTAATAGCAGCAGGTTGCTAAATAAGTTTGGAGTATTTGGCGTACTTTTGATCACCTGGTTGGTGGTAAGAGCGGCAGGTTGCCGAATAATTTTTGAAGTACTGGGCGTACTTTTGGTTACCTGGTTGGTGATAGTAGAGGGTCTAGCTCTTTTGGGCATATGAGCCTTCGCTCAGAATTTGAAAAATGAAAGAGGCGTTTGATGAACTGATTGTGATCTGACTCAAACATGTGATGATAATGATGCATCACATCCTTGATTGTTGATAAGATCCAAATCTGTAAGCCCTTAATCAACATCCAAATGGGGGTGGTTTTCTTGTTGTTTTAGCTGCAGAGAGATCTAGAAATTGTAGTCGACGCACTTGCGCTCGTCGATGAGGATCTGGTAGGCCTCGGAGACCTGCTTGAATCTGACAATGGCTCTGTCTCTCTCTGTCTTAGGGGAGGCAGAGTGATTGTCTGGGTGCAACTTCACCGCCAGCTTCCTGAAACCCGGCCTGGAACCCGGCTTGTCTCGAGTTAACTTTGTCTTCTGCCACTTGGAACCCGGCCTTGATCAGGTTCTTGGCGTCGGTGCTGTCACCCGCCACCTTCTCGAGGCTGCTCTGGCAGGTTTCTTTGTAGGTTGTGGGTTGGCATATGGTCTCGATGGTTTCTTTGTATTGCACTTGGCATAGGGTTCATTACTGTTGCCAATCTTTGAAGAATCGTTGACCGTCCGATCCGACAAGAAACACATCAATTCGGATTTCCAATCATACAAAAATCGAATGGATTGCGATACATGCAGAGAATCTGAAAGCTTTTGTTTTGGGGCGAAAGGGATCAGAGATTTTCAGGAGATTGAATTAGGGTTGTGGACGGTGGATCTGATGATTGATTCTTTTTTTTTTGGAGCTTTTAGTTTTGTGTTTTTGCAGATCTTGCGGTGGAGGTGAAAAAAATGAAAAAGAACTGACACAGCTTTTCATATCGATTCCCACAGACGCGCCAAATGTTGATGCAAAAAAACTGGAGGTCTTGAAACAACGTAAATCCGACCGTGAATCTGCAAGAAATGTAAATAACATAAGATGTATCGTGGTTCATCCTAAGGTTTGGGTTACTCCCACACTGATTATATTTCTGAGGGAGAGAGAGCTCTGAATGAGAGTGAGAGCTTTGAGAGGATGATGAGGGCTTAAGAAATGGCCCTCCCTAATTGTGAGGGTGAGGAGTCATTTTATAGAATAAGGGCTCCTCACTTATTACATATTTGTCCCCTTCCTTTATTACATAATTACATTTAAGTCCCCCTAGTATTTATACGAGATCTAAATACAGAGGCCCTAAGTATGGTATAAACAGAGTGTATTCATTCCGGATTTTAAAGTACTTCATAAAACTCAATATGTATTCAAATAAGATTTGGTTTTAAACTACTTTAAAAGATGATGAATTTTAACGGATTTGGAGTGACTTTATAATGTTTTTTAGATTTTTGGAAATGAGGTCTCTCTCCCTACGGTTTTTTGTGAATTCATCTAAAATTAACATGGTGTCTATGAACCTCCATTAAACATCATGAGTTTATAAGTCTTTTGAAAATATTTCAAAAATAATATTTCAAAATCTCAATTAAATACACCCTCTAAAATTGTGTTTGACACAATTTTTTGTGAAAATCAAACCTAAAACCTTACGGATCGTATAATATTACGTTCTTCTTTTTATATTATAATAGCAAATTAACTAGGGGTGGTTCGGTATGGGATACCGAACCGAAAAGCACAAACCGATTCCCAAACCGAACTCTTTCAGGACAAGATTATGAATACTGAAACCGAAACCAAAATTTCAGTTTCCCAATTTTCGGAATTCTCAAAAAAAAATTCAGTATTTTGGGATCCCAAATCAAACCAAAACAAAGGCAAATCCCCAAATCCCCAATTTGTAAATCCTTAATTCGAGCCCTAATTCAAAAACAAGATACCCAAGCTTCCTCCAAATCCCCAGTTTGTAGTAGTTGCACCATAAATTCCAACTCTTTAAGGGAATAGAATATGACTTACTTTTAAATTGGTAGAACAATTTGGAAGGCATGATAGAATCTGCAAAAAGTAATACCATATGGCTGAAAGGAGAGTTGAGAGAGAGAGAGAAGCGAGTGAAAGGAGAGGAGATAAAGCTGGTGAGTCAAGTGTTGGTGGCAAAACCACCTAGAGAAAGAGAGAGTTTAAGAGAGAAGATGCAGCTCTGAAAATTGAAATCGAGAGGAGAGAGATGAAATTGCATAAATGGAAAAATGGAAGGCAGCAAGGGTTAATGAAAATGTTAAAGTATGAGTAACTAATAGTTATTAAGCATATAAATATATTTTTTGTATTATAATTTGACAAATTGAGAGTTGGCTCAGTGGTGAAGTTCCATGATTCTCCAAGGGGAGATTAGGGGCTCGAATCCTTGGGGCCTCATTTTTGAGGTAATTATCTAAAGTCGGTTCGGTTTGGGAAAACCGAAATCCACAAATGTTAAACCAAATACCAAACCGAATTGGGCGGTTCGGGATAATAACCAAACCGAAAATTTCGGGATAATTTCAGTTCAGATTCGGTATGGATCGAGAATTTCGAGAATTTTTTCTAGCCCTAAAATTAGCAATAACCCTTCTTCGGGTCATATAATCGATGTAACAAGTTACGTGAGATGATTTAAATTTATGACCTCTTTTTGTCAAATATTGACAACCAATAAACCAAGTTTTGATTGTTAATTAGTGTAAACTTATGATTTATCATCAACGCGATGCCAGTTGAGTTCAAGATCTGTTGGACTTTAAATGTAACACAAAACCAACAAATTAATTAGGGTAAACCCAGTTCATATGTACAAAAGGGAAATACTTCTCCTACTTTAAAGACTTGCAAACAAAGATACATAGGATAACACTACTAAAACTTAAATTACCAACAACAAAAGCACTACAAGCACTTATTTATATATATAGAAGCCATGATGAAGTGCTTGCCTTAGACCTAGGACATAATCCAAACGCTTACAACAACATATGATAGGACAGAACACCAACTTCTGCCAACACCTTAACTAAAACAACACAAGAACCCTAATCTCTCCCAACTTTATTTATTCCAATGGGAGAAAAACGACCAAACATCTACTCCAAGTAATATGGAGCTTGCGGAGGAACATAAGTCATGGCCAAGTACACAGAACTACAAGCATGGACGCAGCAACGAGGATGACCGAGTTCTTGGTTTTCTTCTTCACCAAGCAAAGCACCACACGCGATCTCCCCATTTCCAAACATTCCAGCTACCGGAACTCCTGGGAAGTTGTCAGCAAATGGCTTACAGTCAACATTACGTCTATTGAACAACGATATGCCGCGTTTGTTGCTGGAGAAGATAAACCCTCCGAACACCTTTCGCTGGATATCGGAATCATTGTGAACCAAAGTTTGAAGGTTATCAGATGCATAATCAACGGTGTTCATTGCAGTTGCAGCATCTGAATGGTAGAAGAAGAAGACGTCATCGGGTTGGATTCCCACACCATCAACAAGAATGTAGTCCCCATATCCCCTGTTACAAATTTCAAACATAAACATAGATATAAATACATATATACCTCTACAAAATTCAAGGGCAAAAACATAAGTTCGTATGACTTACCCTCTAACTTCATGAAAATTCAAGGTTGTCATGGAGACTGGTGGTCCTGCTCCGTTGTGGTATTGTCTTCTTTTGGTGACCCCAGCGTAAATGTCCGACATGCCCAACTGCATCAACACGGATTTTTGTCAGAACGAAATTAATCTGTTTTGAGTTTAACAGTCTAGCATGTTACGTTGACAGTTGTGAATTGAGAGTACAAACCCTGTGGATGTCTAGTCTTATTTTTATTTTTTTTTTGTGGTAGATTTACAGTTTGACAATATAACGGTCTAGATATTCATGTTGACGCACCTGGCTTCGAAGCTCCCTTAGAATGGTGTGGGAATCAATGAAGACACCTTCGAACTCTGACATTACAGCGGAAATCCATGAACTATGAGTAGGCGTCTCATAAGATGATATTGTCTTGATTTGAGGACCGAATGGCATCAAACTCGGCGACAATGTGACATGGAACTCAATTTCCCCCATGTCTACTCATAAAATTGACGATTTGTTAAAACCAGAACTTTGAATTAAGAAAATATAGGACAATATGTGTGTGAGTCTGAGTGTCTATGTGTGTTGATTGGGACATAAAGGACATACAATCAGGTTTGTGTTGATCCTTTACAAAAACGAGTGCTGCACCGGCAATGTAGAACAAATCGCTACTGTAATTTCCGGTTTCATTTCTCCGAGTGTACATAAAAGAGGCACTTGCATCACCGACGATGGCAGTCTTGTCAGGCATAATAGCATCTGCAAGATAACGGAAGATATCCGCCATAAGATCCATGTACAAGTTTTTTACATATAAAAATACATGATCTACAACACAATATTCTACGATTTTGCAGGAAAAAGAAATTGAGCTCTCACAGCTGCAACTCCGTTTTTCTTTTCGAAACTTATTATTCGAGGTTCTTTATTTTCACATCCAATAGCGGAATCAGAGAAGAAAACAGTACTCACCGAGTGCTGCGACAACCAGGTTCATGTCAAAATGTTTATCCTAGATCAACCATGTCAAAAATTAGCAATGGAAAGGAAGAAACCGAGTTCGAAGAAATAAAAGGAAACCAAGCTGTCAATTTTTAGCCTGTAAAACTCAGAAGACGGAATACCAACTTACCCCGAACATCATCATGCATGAAGGCGGAAGAGGACCCGAATAGCTCAGAATGTCCCCCACAAAATGCTCCATCATAAGCAAGTGCGGTGCCTGAGTATCGAACACTTCCATGTCATGTAATTGCTCTTCACAAAACAAATTGAAAAAACAACAAAGCTCACATGTCTTGGACTCGGTAGGGGAAATATTTCAACTTTTAAGCCAGGCACAAATCCAACGGAAACGACGAGGCCTCCATTGATTTCTGGGTTCCGTGCAGAGTTACCATGAGCGCAGTTCACCTGCACAAACATATAGTGCAATATTCAACATGGTCTTAATTGGTGTCGAATGTTCTTAACTGAACTTTTAAAGTTTCATAAAATTAAGAACATGCCTCGCGGAGATTACGAGTTTCGACATCTGTGCTGATTAGTCCCATGGCTCTGTTTGTAATGATCGGAATTCTAGAGCCTATCTTCTCAGTAATCTGCATCACAACCATTAATTAAAAACCGAAAACTAAATAACTTAATAACTATGAAGAAAAATTAATAACAAAAAGACTAAAAGTTTACAAGTTGGTGAGTTTCTTCCAAGCTGAAATTTGTTCCAATATATGCGACAACAAAGTCCGGTCGAATTGGCTTAGAGAAAATCTCGGCAAGAACTTCATCAATCGCATTCTTCAAAAACAAACAATCACCAGAGTCAAAAATAAAAACAGAGCATTTCAGGAGACATAGAATTTTAAGAAAATAGAGTATTTAAGGAAAACAGAGCATTTAGGAAAACAGAGTATTTAAAGACATACGTGCAGGTCGGAGTTAAGAGAAAGGGCAGAAGCAAATTTGGGATGAGAGAGCATGTGGCTGCAGTTCTTGTTCCAAGTTGTGTTGACGCAGGCGGCTGACGCGAAAGCAACCCCCGGTAGTCTCCCCAGAATGTTCTGCAAAATGTCGTCGTCTACTTGAGAAAACACTCCTTGTTCACGATCAGTTTTCAGCTGTGCAGCCGCCATTGATCTACCCTCACCACCTCGGCTTCGTTTATGTGAACAGAACATGAGTCTTACTGAGTAGCTCTGTTCTGTGGTGATAGTGGTAGAGGGAGGTCCTCTTATATAGGCGTTTCATTTTCATCTCTTTAAGAGTTAAGCATCAAAAGACTATGTCTTTTTTGCATGAAAACCATAGACTTTTTATCTACCCTGCAAAGAAACCAATCCAATTAAACAGTCCATTACATGTGAAGCTAAAAAGGAAAAGCAAAAAATTTAATAGGGTTTGTGATTCTCTAAATTTACTACTACGGTGTGAGCAGTATATTACGAACGAGCGCCGCCCACGTGTTATTAGGTTATTCTTAGTCGTACGTTCAAGCGGAGCCTACATCAATGAACGGTTCAAATTGCTTGTGCTCGTGTAGTGATTGTTGGTGATTGTACTGTAACCATATCTATATTGAATTGCCTCAGATTTTTTCTTAAAGTTGTTTGTCGGTTTTTACCTGAATGTCAGAAACGCAGTTAATGCGTACCCGGTCGTATTAAATTCAAATAAAAGTCGTTTGTTTTTTTTGTCACGGACGTCAAAGAACTTAATAATTGAATCTAAACTCACTGAGTTGGTTTTAACTCGTTTGTCGATTTCGATTGAAAGTTAGAAAACCTACATCAATAGTAATTGTGCTTATAGAGTTGTGTCTAAATCCTCTACACAAATAATTTGATTTTAGGCTCATATTGTGCATAAATTTTGAGTATAAGTGTAACTTCATGATACTTAAGTGCTAATAGCTCAATCTCACTATGATTTACAAGAACATAACTCTAAGAACATGTGATTGGAGCTTACTTAGGTGTATTATGAATGATTTATGTATTTAGATGCGTGTTACGGATTAATTATGTGCTTTAGGGGTTTAAGATTTGGAATTGCATGTTTCTATCCAACATTTACAAGTGTAACTACAAATCAAGGTAGTAACACTTGAGTGTTATTAGCTCAATATCACTAAAGTTTCAAAAACTAAAGCCAGAAATATTAACTACCAAGTTTAAATATATAGAAGGCTTATAATTTACAAACTAAGTGATCGTAACAACAATTAATGGTCTGCGGTGATAACTAATAGTCTATGGCTATTGAATACATTATTATTTTTTCTTTCTAAAAAAAGATACAATTGTTGGTAAACCATAGTTATCTATCATTTTCAGGGCCGGAAAGTCTCATAAGCATTTTAGCATCCCATTTTTTAACACTTTTTTTAACATTTTGCACATCCTTCTTTATTTCTGGTCATTAGATTAAATAAATCAAATGAAAATTAATGGATATAATTAGTGTAGAAGAAGAAAAAATGTGTGCGCTTATCATTTCTCTATAAATTAAGAGAAATAATACACTTGAGTGGAGTGCATAATTTTTTTTTTTGAAGTACCAAAAATGCTCCCTTAAAAACAACACAATTTCATAATGCAAACTTGGCAAAGTGATTGGAAGGTTAAGAAATTGTGAATGCAAAAGCATTTTTATCCATCATGGTTCATGTTTGTTTGAAAGTGCTTTTAAAATGACTGAAAATACTTTTGGTGAATTGATTTAAGTGCTTTTCCAAGATCTCCTTGAATTTTTACTAAGGATTGGTTTAAAAAACATTTGCTACAAAAGTACTTTCAGTCACTTTAAAAATATTTTCAAATGAGTCTATAATTAATTATAGTTGGAGAGTGTATATGTCACATCCTGGCCCGGGTCCCCACCATATCCTGAGCTTAACTCCACCATAGCACGATATTATCCGCTTTGAGCTCCGACCACGCCCTCACGGCTTTATTTATGGGAACTCACACGAGAACTTCTCAGTGGGTTACCCATCCTAGGAATGCTCTCGCCCGAACTTGCTTAACTTCGGAGTTCCGATGGAACTCAAAACCAGTGAATTCCCAAAAGGCAATGTGCTAGGTAGAGATGAGAATATACATATAAGGTTTGCAGGATCCTCACCCTTGGGCGATGTGAGATCTTACAATATAAGTAAATAATATATGTAGGAAAAATTAGTATCCGGTCCCTAGTTATTGATGTTCATTGACTGAAACCTTATTGGTTTTTAGATTTTTGATCCAAGTCCCTGCAAATAATAAGAATTTACATAGCAAAATTTCAAATAAAAATTAATTGAATAGTTTTTACTACACATTTATCAAACTCGAACTAATTTTAACCAAAACATTTCCAAAATAAATAAAAAGTTAGAATAAGTTTGTACCCATTAGTCTTTTTTTTTTTTAAATTCAATAAACTTATATACCAATGTAATTTTTTCAAATTATCAATTGACCAATTCTATATACAATTTGTTATATGTAAAATGTTCAATTTTTTTTATATAAAATCTATGAATTTTTTCTAATCAAGGAAAACTATTGGATACATTTTTTTTCTTTGATTTTGAAAATGTACATGTCAAGTAGAATAAATCACTAATGTTATTAGCCTAATATCTCTTTTTTTTTGCACTGGTTTGAAGAATACCGTTGATACAAAAATTTTTTGTTAATTTTGATGAATGTACCCATGTTTATATATACACAATAGTATAATTTATATTTTAAGATTTTTAATCCCACAAATTATGGGTTTTTATTTAAAATCCAGAACATGAATCAAAAAAATCTCATTAACGTAAACAACTATAAATTTCAATTTTTAATTTAAAAAATATAGTAACATAAATAAAAATAAATCATCACATCAATTTCAAGAGCTCAGATCAAAAATTGAAAACCAACAAAGTTTAGTCAAAGAATATTGATAGATAGATACCGCACTAGACTCCCATTATTTATGTTGCGGACACTTAAAGCCCTCATCTACAATGAGGTTCTAAATTCCATTCCGAAACAACGCTGAAATCCTAAAATAATTTTTGCTACTGCCAATAAATCAGGTGTTTGAGGGGATTGTGGTGTATTTTACTGCTCTGAGAATGTGAGTGTTCCGGGACAATGCGTTTATCACACTTCCATTGGGGAAGAACTCTGATGGGCTCAATGCTGCTGTTTCCGAGGGAGTGTAGACCCGTGTGCTAAACAAGTGTTCGTGATGACAGAGAGAGATAATTTTTTGAGAATCAGACTTAAGAGAGATCGCGCATGTGATTTTGTGTTGTGTGGAAACTTACCAAGAGTGATTCTCCTCCACGCTTTGGACTCACCAACACATTGTTAAAAACTTTTAGTCTTAATTGTGTTAATGCCGGCACAATTTTATTTGTGGACATAAAGTGTTTAACGTTATAAAACAAATTCAAGAAACCGAGGTTTTTTGTCGAGGTTTTTATTGAAATTTCAGGGTTGTTTGATGTGACGGCAGAGAAATTAAGCAGCACTTGACAGTAAGATTAATAGTTTGGAAGAATCTTAAAAATAAAAAATAAAAAGATTTGAAGAGATGGATCTGCTAGTGGCCCCTAGATCATCAACTGTGGCATGACCACCAGACATAGTTGATGAAGCACTCAACCAAGTGGATGTTTGTATAAAATGTCTGCTTTCACAGCCTTAATTTCGACAAAGTGCTCTCCACAAAGAAAGGTTGCAGCTCACCTTGGTAACTGGACATAAAACTCCCCGGATGCGACAAGGGTTCTGGCTGAGGCTTCCTTCGCCGCCGGTTGTGTCCATCAAGACGTTTCCTACAGCTTCTCTTTCCCTGATCAAATTCCTCCAGAGCATGGAACCTGCAACAAAAGAGCGCACGAAGCGTGAGGAACTTGACCTTGCCAGATTGCGGCTTTGAACAGAGGGTACTCATCCGAACGGAGCTACAAATACATAGATATGAGTTGAACATTTGTTAGTTTACCTCTGAATTTATTTAGCGGAATAGGATTACAAAAAAACGGATCTGCAGTTTGTTCTATACAGCATTAGCAGCTTTCCAAAAAAAATTCGCTCGTCTTCCGCCATCCTATCTAACGATTTTCAAAACAACATTCGATATCTGATATAATCAACATTCGAGATCTGCAGTTTGTGTAAATAAAATCGAAGTGCAAATCAACATATGCAAATACTTAATCAAATGCAAATCAACATTACAAGACTAATGAAAATTGTTGTAAAATCTTATACCTGCTACACTGCTGGCAAAATCGCTGCTTGTTTCCGTTAATCGTGACCTGAGGAGTCTTAGAATGTAACTCACAGACCTTATGCCGCCGATGGTAATCCCTACAAGTACTAAGGTCACAGTTGCATCCATCAACGAGGCAGGAAACCATCTGAGATCCGCTGTAAGCCGCTCTAGACCTCTTTGATGGTACAGACGAAGATGATGAGGTAGTTCTCGGAACGGGCTCCTTCAGCATATCCACCACCTCATTATTCCCATAGCCACCCAACTGACCAAGCTTCAAATCAACAGAAAAGTTGCTTCCTTTCAAGGCCCTATGATCTCCAAGGCTGCTAGACCCATCTACTGTAGTGTCCATGTTGGAAAAGGTTTCTTGTTCTAGTTCAGACAAATCCCAAGAAGCTGCTTTCAAGTTCCAGTCCATAAAAGCACTTATTTCAAAAGCTGCTGCTTCTACTACTACTTTACCTCCTTTTTGCTTTCCCCACCTCCTTCCCTCAATTAAGCTTCTCTCTTGCTATTTGTAATTGTATCACCTTCAATAAGAATATAATTTCAAAAATTCACAGTACAAACAGCATCAGCAGAGTAAAATTACCAAATTAACCACATCAGAAGTCCAATTAGGCAAAGATCTAATCACGGAATAGCTTATGAACTTTCAAATTCAAAAGGGTATTAATATATTATATCATACAAAACAGCAATACGCAGAATTAACAAGAATTGACTCCATAACAAAGAAAACACAAAGTAGGAAAGCAAGAAATGCAGCTCTGGACATTGCAATTTTTTAGAACCCCAAACTAGAAAGTCAAGAGACTTTTTTTTCTTTCCAATAAATTAATGATATGCAAGCAGTGTTGTTCCAAGAAATTGGGAATCTAAGATGGAAAACATTACTATTTCCGACCATATTAAACAAATAAATAGAACAAAAACAAACAAGAGGAGAGAGAGAGAGAGAGAGAGAGAGTAAACTTACAGATAAGTGGTGCAGATGAAGACTGGTTTTCCAGCCATTTATTCACTGACATAGATTCCATTAATAGTAAAGTTGGTAGCCAAGGAAATAAAATATAAAGCTAAAGCTATGATTAGTTGGGTGTGTAGGTTAATAAATGAAGAATCACTTATTGTACCTGTCAGCAAAATGCCATTGAAGGTGTCTGCTGCACAACACACAGAAGAGAAAGTAGAGAGAGAGAGAGAGAGAGAGAGTGAGTGAGTGGATAATGTAATGTGAGTGTAGAGAGAGGATTCTGTTAGTGAAGTTTTAGAGAGAGAGAGAGAGAGAGAGAGGGGGGGGGAGGGGCTTAAAGCAGCACTAGAAAGAAGGGGCCAAGCTCCTTGAGTTTTTATTTAAAAATATTTATTCTTGTACATTTTAGGGTTTGTATGAAATTGGTGAGGGAGGAGAGAAAGGGAGAATAGGGACAGCTAGTTTGTGGCTTTCAGACTTTTACAAACCAAAGAAAAAGAAGTACAAAGAATGGATGCTCAGAACAAACCATGTGGCTTTGTGTTTCACATTTCATGGCATGTCCTTCCATTTGGGATCCTTTTCCTTCAAACCCCTCTCGTGCACCCCACGCTCCTCTCCTGGCGAGTGGGAAACTCGCAGCCCATCTTTGACTCTTCCTTCTAAGAGCAAGTCCACCTCTTTGTGGAAGGCAAGGATAGGGGCCATAAAGTTATAGTACAAATCCAAAGAAATACTCCAACGAGCCTAGATGAAGAGGGAAAGTGATGGCCCATGTGAAGCCCGCTCGACGCCTAAGCAACTTATGATCGGTCATGCGTTAGGGCGTAAGGTTGATGTCAGCCACGTTGTTTAATCTTTTTTTTTTATTTGTCTGGCAATACACTCGTGAACTTGGCGAGTGGGCCGGCAACTTCTGTTGTCGTGGTACTCTCTACAACAGTCCATCAATCACCATCTACGGCTTTATGGCATGGCAATTCGTGAGCTATTGGATTTCCAACAATAAATTTATTTTATGAAGTTATCGTTGTGCCACGTGGCACATCTTGGTGATCCAAATTTCATGGTAGAAAAACTAAAAATAGGAAAATTAGGATTTTTTTATTATATAAAAATCCAATCATATTCTTCATTCCCCACATCACAACTCAATCGATTCTTACTACAATCTTTTATATTTGTTTTCCACTTTCCAAATCATTTTTTTATCAAAAAAATGAGTGAGAACTAAGAAGGCAATTTGGTCGATTGGGAAAGATGTTGCTTTGCTCAAGGGTTTGGTGCATGGCACTATATAAGGAAACCAAAAGATTGCATAAGGAAAAGTTGCACTATATGAATAATCGAGAATCTTATAAAAAAAATCAGAGCAAACATTATTAATGTATAATGACATGTGGCATGACGAGAGTGTTTGAAAATTTGATCGAAAATATAAGGCATTCATGACACGTGGAGGATAAGGCCTGCAAAGCAACTTAAAAAATAAAATAAAAAATATTTGTGATGGTAATCTGCCTTGCTCTTGCTCTTGCTCTTGCCCAACGGATAAAAGTATACAAAGGCAAGTGCTATTCCGAGTTTATAGTAAGAGCAAGTTAAATGCCTTGCCCTTACCCTCCCTACATGGGTGGAACTGCTCTAAGTATTTACCTACACTGAATACGTCAGTGTCTTAATATTCCAAATCAATAACATAATGTCGTATGTTTTTACTTTCTCACACAACAGTATGGTATTATCTTGAGATGAGCCTAAGGCCCTAAAAGCTTTGCTTTCATTTGAATTGCAACTTTAGAATTATTAGTGCCAGACTTATGCTGGGCTGTCTGTCTCCAGGGTAGTACTGAATGGGGTCCTTAATAGCTTGGATTAATAATTGCATACCTTAATTGCCAAAACATAAATAAAATAATGGTACATTTGTCAACTAGATATGTACTGATCTGTCTTGGGACATTATAAGAAGGATCTTTCCATGTTATGTTAGGTGGCAAAGAAGAAGAAGAAGAAGAAGAAGAAGAAGAAGAAGAAGAAGAAGAAGAAGAAGAAGAAGAAGAAGAAGAAGAAGAAGAAGAAGAAGAAGAAGAAGAAGAAGAAGAAGAAGAAGAAGAAGAAGAAGAAGAAGAAGAAGAAGAAGAAGAAGAAGAAGAAGATTTGGAAGCAAAGACTTCGAGAGCAAAACATGCAAAATGTGGGACTAGTTTTGAGTATGAATCACATTTCCAATGGAATTTGATTAACTACATTACTACTTTACATCAATTTTAGGTCAAGGAGTCAATTAGCCAAAGGTCTATTATTCAAATTCTCTTTGTCTATTTGAATGTGCCATGTCAATGATATCATTTCACTACAAATAATTGGTCTTGTTGCATTCAAATTGACAATTTTGACAAGGTGGTGATATTGACGCACCCATTTTTACTTTTCATATACTTCTTGTTAATTTATGTTTTTGGATTTTTTTAATTCATTCAATTTAACAGCCAAAACTCAAAAGAATATGTGGGAGGTAAAGCGGAGTGTGTGGATAGCACCAACCTTTTGACAATGAAGAATTTCACCAATTTAATGAATTTCAAACTATATTTCGTTGATAGAGAAATAGACTCTAGATGAAAAATCAAAATCAGCTAATTTTAGCACAATCATAAATGTATTTTCTCACTCATTATGGTCACTTAGGCTAATCTATATTACTGTTAGTAACTAAGAGATCACATTTTTGTACCATATTGCATATCACTCTTTAATAGATGCATTGTCATATGATATTAATATCAGTTGAATAGTTAACGCTCTTCAGAGAAACATGTCTCAATGTATTTGAGTATTATCCGGCCTCGTTGCCATGCCCAAAACTCTTCTCTATGAAAGAGACGGTACAATGTAATACAAAAATAACAGGTTTTTGTTGGTACGTTCCAATTACTAGTTATTTGCCCTTGAAATTTCAAACATAGCGATAGTTGTGGTCGCGGTAAATGTGACAACCAAGAAGCTAGAATTTTTGGTGTTTGGACTTTGGAGGGGTTGCTAGCCGAGCGCGTAACTCTTCTCTATGAAAGAGACGTTTCAATGTAATACAAAAATAACATGTTTTTGTTGGTACGTTCCAATTACTAGTTATTTACCTTTGAAATTTCAAACATAGCGATAGTTGTGGTCGCGGTAAATGTGACAACCAAGAAGCTAGAATTTTTGGTGTTTGGACTTTAGAGGGGTTGCTAGCCGAGCGCGTGAGACTTGCATGTAATCAAGTGTGCATCTTTGAAGGCCCATTGAATGGGAGGTAGGCGCTGTCAGACTCCATAAACTTCACTTCTAACTTTAATTTTCATGACCCAAAATATTTTCTTTATTATGAATGATATTTTGCACTGTAAATTTAAATGAAAGATTTTATTTGTGAATTTGAACCATATATTACTATTTCATCATGAGGTTAAATTCACGCACTCCCTTTTAGTATAAATATAGTTTGTTAAAAAAAAAAAACCACTTAGTACTAACGTCTAGTGATATTCCTCTTAATTTGTAAGTGAGATGTTTTAGGTTCATTGTGAGGTTAAGCACATCCCCCTCCTCTTTATTGTAGATAATATCATTTGTTAAAAAAAAAATTATAAAATTAAAAACTATTCATCATAAACTACGACAATTTACCGTTTCACCAATATCGTTTACTAGCCCTTTATTAATCAATTACATTATTATGTTTTAGGGTAATCACATTTTACTTTAACCTCATACAATATCTTTTAAACAATTCAATCACATACTAATGTTTATTTTCATTTTAATGTCATACATCTGTCACATTTTTCGTAAGTTGTTATATGCCTATGTGACCGCGTGAAGTTTAGTGCAACGTGCCACTTTTTTGTTGTGGGAAAGCCTACCCTAGCAGTTCATCGGGTAGGTGCAATTGGGGCCTGAAGTGGGGTCTGAAGACATATAACGGAGGAGCTGACGGAAAATGAGACAGATATATGACATTGAAATAAAATAATAAGTAAATATATGAGATAAAAATGTTTTAAATATGTTGTATGAAATTACAATTGAATACAAACCTAAAGAGAAAAAATATAATTTACCGTATATCCTAAGCTACTCAAGATGATTAACAAAAAATCATATTTACTATCCAAATAAATTGAGAGCTTGAAAATCATAGCTAATTTGAACTTAAGGACAAACTTCATATTTGTTTTTGTGAGGAACTTTAATTGTAAACAATATAAACAGATAAAAATAGAATGTTTATTTTTATTTTTGTATATAACGATATATCTACTTTAAAGATTGGAGAAATAAATTAGTTTCAAAATCGTCATTTATTACATTAAAATATAAAAAGTTTATTTACAAATAAAAAAGAATATTATTAAACTATTACATACTAAATAACTTTTTATTTTAATTTATTAATTTAGAGAAAGACTAATTAGGAGTTGATAATTTAGTAATTAATCCAAACGAGTTGATATGTGTAGATTATTGAAGGGGTAAAAACGTCATGCTACAGATTACCAAAACGTCATGCTACAGATTTACCCTAACGTCATATGCCACAGATTTACCCAAACGTCATGCTACAGAGGCGGGACAGGGGTCCTTTAAATCTGCAACAACCAACTTGTCAGTGTGGGCAGCTGTATTGCGACTGTCCATGGGACCAAACTCTAATTATTTGCCAAGTGTCGCCTCACCGAATGAGAAAAACTAACTTGTATAAAACGCGCTATTGTACTGTTTGGATTCAATAATATATTAACATACGTAACATAATATTGTGTTATTAGATGAGAATATCACATAACAATGAACCGTTTCATATAAGTCATCACATGAGAGAGATTTATTTAATATGCAATCGTAACATCTCATACCAATAAAAAGTCAAATCACATTGATTATGTTAATTTAGAGTGTCACGATGACGTATTGAGAAATGTAAGTAAATCATTTTGAATAATGATAGATGCATTAAAGTCGTGCACCAAATAATACGTTACCAAAAATAATATGAATTTCAGGTCATACTCCACATGACACGTCCTGTGTTCGATTATTAACGCTGGTAAATCGAATGATAGTGGTCAAGGAATGTTGAAATGTTTCTGTGAATCTTCTCGACCCCCTGAAGGGTAGCCTGCTATGACGAAGCCACTAGTTGGTCTCTTTTTTTTTTACAAAAAAAAAAAAAAACTCAAGTTGGAATTTAATTAACAATTGTAAGTTTGTAATTGAAAATATAACTTTAGCCCCTAAAACTTAATATTCTCCACATAAAACCCGACATACAAAATAATTTACCTACATAATAAAGCAAACCCAATATATGCAAAATAATTTACCTACATAATAGAGCAAACATAATATATATAAAATAATTTACCTGCATAAAAAATATATTATTTTATTCAACACTAGTTTACCTATTAATTATTTG